CTAGGTGACACTCTGATCCTCTCGGTGGGATGAAGACGGGGTGCGGGACCGGGGGGGGGCGGAGGGAGAGTGGGTTTCAGGAAGGCACAAGGTGGGAACACATCGTTCCCGAGCGTCTAGAGCGTTCTTGAGCGCGCTCTGGAACGGCCGCCGCGCCAGCTGTATGCTCCAGTCCCACTCCCGTTCAGAGATCCCCGATTCATCGTTATCCGAGGGAATCACCATCCTGCTTTCGCCGCAGGCGGGGTGGGTGCACAGGGACGAGGGAGAATGCGGAAGATGAGGAGGCAGATGGGCAGATGGGGGTGGCGGAAGCGGGGGGGGGGCGGGAAGGGATGAAACGGAAAGCAGGGACAGCATGGATGGGGGCTGGATGGAGTGAGGATGGAGGGATGCAGGACGAGAAAGAGGGGAGAGATATGGTGGAGGCAGCCAGAGAGGGACGCGGGGGGGGGAAGCGGAAGGGATCGGAAAGGGTAGTGGGTATATATATATATATAGAGAGAGATGGCAAGGCAAAGAGGGATAGGGGGAAGGATGAGAGTCAGGAGTGCAGGAGGATGCGGAGGATGCCAAGGAGCAGGAGGGAGGGAGAGAGGAACATGCGAGGAGAAGGAGGACGAGTTGGCAGAAAAGGGGGAGGAGTAAGGACCGATGCCCGCGCAAAACGTATGCCTGAAGGTTGCCTGGCGCCCAGGGCCTGGGAATTATGGGATGCCTTGAGGCGGGCGCTCCGCGCGCGCAGGGCGCGCCCACGAAGGCTTCCCATCTTGACCCGACACAGGAAACTCCCAGCAGCAAAAACATTAGGTTGGGGGATGGGGGGGGCAGGGGGGGGGAGGGGAGAGGGTGGGGGAAGGGGGGCTTGGTGGGGGGCCAGATCCCGGGGAGGAGGATAGGGAGAAGGGTTTGATTAGGTAGCTGGAAAGAGGGACACCGCTAAACCACCGCCCACAGGGGTGGTGGGACTCTTCCACCTCTTCCTCCTCCTCCTCCTCCTTCTCCTCCTCCGCCTCCTCCCATGCCCCCTCCCACTCCTCCTCGTCTTCATCCTCCTCCCCTTCTTCTTGTTTGTCCTCCCTCTCCTCCTCCTCCTCACTCTCCTCCCCCTCGTCCTCCATCCCCCTCCCTGGAGATATTTCTCCCCGTCGCACCCCGAGGCCAGTCGAAAGGCTCAGACGTTTCGATCTAGACCTCTTCGCCGTTTATGACCCTGAAGCTTAGAATTTGCAAAGAGCTTCGCGGATGGAGGGCGGCCCGCTTTCAACATGCGGTTCTCGCCTTTGCGCTGTGCACGTTCGCTTAATCAATGTGCAGGAGCTTCACGGATCGAGGGCGCCTGTCTCGTTTTCGCGCTGCGTCCGCTTGTTCTAAAGGCTCGCAGGAGCTGCACGGATGGAGGCCGGCTCGCTCTGAACTTGTGGCTGTCACCTCAGCGCCGCGCACAGCCGCTTCAAGCTCTGCAAGAGCTTCACGGGTGGAGGGCAGCGCTCATTTTCAAGATGCGGTTATCGAAGGGGCGCCGCGTGCACCCGCTCAGGAAAAGATGCGAGAGCTGCACGGGTGGAGCGCTGCTCCTTTTCAACATGTGGCTCTCGCCTGAGCGCCCCGTGCATTCGTTTTTTTTTTGTAGTTTGCAAGAGCTTCACGGATGGAGGGTGGCGCCTTTTCAAAATGTGGCGCGCCGCGCACGTTCGTCTTAAGACATTTGCAGCCGTTTCATGGAGTATCATGGATCGCGTCCCAGAGTTGGCGTTTCGGCAGGATGTCGGAATGTCAGGGCGCAATCACTTTGATTCGGGGTGCTGAATCGCAATGTTGATGTTCTGGCACGATGCAGGATCGTCAAGACGCAACAAGAACGGTGATTCGTGGCGTTGATGTCTCAGGAATGGCGTTCTAGCACAAATCGGGATTTTCAAACAGTTGTCTTCCAATAGTGTGCTCCCTTGAGTGCACATGAATCCGTGTAGAGGCCTATGAAGTGGGAGTTTGAAGGGAGGGTTTATTGCAATGTCGTTGATGCGTCTTGGGCTTACATTTGTCCTTCTCCTCCTCCTCCTCCTCCTCCTCCTCCTCCTCCTCCTCCTCCTCCTCCTCCTCCTCCCCCTCCTCCCCCCCCCTCCTTCCCCCGAGCGCAATATGCAGCGACCAAAGACGCCCCGAGTGAGAATGAGCATGCGCAACAAGACAGTTTGGCCAAGTTCTGTGTAGAGAAAGTACGCGGCGCTACCAGGTAAGACCCGCATTTCCCAAGGAGGTGGAGGAGAGCTGACTTCAGAGTGAGAGGATGGGGGATGGGGGAGGGAGGGAAAGGGAAAGAGGGAGGGAGGAAGCGGGAGGGATGGAGGGGAAAGGGAAGAGGGGGGAGGACGAGGGAGCAGGAGGAGGACCACAGGGCATGAGGAGCAGCAGGAGCAGGAGCAGCTGACGATGAGAAGGTTCAGGGAAAAGGAGCAGAAGGTGACTGGCCGGGCCTGGCTTGCGATCGCAGCGCGCCCTTTCGAGGTACACGCAGTTGATCTCGGAGACGGCCGCCGCGAACGTCGTCGCGTACGACGTGCAGTGGGCGCCCGACTTCGACGAGGGGTCGGACAACCCGATCGCCCTTGTGCAGCTGGCCTTCCCGATTTCTGGGCGCCGGGCCCCGAATCTGCGCCAACTCCGCATCTTCCCTCGCCCCCTCCCTCCAACTCCCCCTCCTCCCCCCCCTTCACTTAAGCTGCCCCAGTACGCCCGCTTTGACACGCAATACGTATCGTGGTCACAACGTCCGTGTAAACACACTGCGTGTTGGCTCAGCACGTTTTGGCCCACGTTTGGGCGAACGTATTGCAGCAGACCTACGTTTTCAGCGTACGTGAGCTTCGTGTCAACACGCTACGTGTTGCGTGTTGCGTGTCGGGGCAGCTGGGCCCCCTTCTTCTCCTCTTGCCCCTCATCGTCTGCCTCTCCTCCCCCCTGCTCCTCCCCTCTCACCCAGGCTCCTGCTTGTGCTTCTCCTTCCCCCCTCCTCTCGCTCGTCCCTCCTCCTCCTCCTGCGCCCCCATCCCTCCCTCCTCCCCCCCCTCCCCCCCCTCCCCCCCGGCCAGCCGCGGGGATGGCGCCCCCACCGGCCCTCCGCGGGCGGCCGTGGGCCAAGGTTCTGCGAGGCCGCCACACCATGCGCCGGCACGCAGTCTTGAGTCGGGCCTGTCCCCCTACAGGGGGATTTTCGACGAAAAATAAAAAGATGCCCCCAACAAATCAAACAATACTCCAAAAATAGTTCAGGGACTATTTTTGTTAGTATTCTTCGACCTTTTTGGAGTTTTGGGGTATTTTATTTTTCGTCGAAAATCCCCCTGTAGGGGGACACGCCCGACATAAACGTAGTCTGCATCTTGTAGCATACCTCCACACGTTGAACGAACAGTGAACGAACCCCTCGCCCGCCTCCTGCTAGGGGTCTCGAGCGGGCCCGCACCAGGCTGGCACACTCTGCCGGTGCACCGGGCACGGGCCGTCTTCGGGCACTGACCCAGCCCTCCCCCCTCGTCCTGCCTCTCCTCCCTCCAGTTGCTCCTGCTCCTGCTTTGTCTCCTCCTCCTCCTCCTCCTCCTCCTCCTCCTCCTCCTCCTCGTTCTTTCCCTCTCTGAACCTCCTGCTCCTCATCCTGCTGTTCTTCTCCTCGTCGACAAAGCGCCTGCCGTCGGCTGAGCTCGGCCCCCTAGAGGCCGCATGGGATGGGCGTGACTCCCCGCAGAGAGCCCCCGCCGAGCCGCCACGTTGACTGGTCATGGGCCCTGGCCCCCTCGGGATCAGGCCTGCCAGGATGGATTCGGCGACAGCGGTGGGTTCTGGTTTTCGCTATTAAGAGAAAGGGTTCCAGAGGAAACTGGTCAGTAGATCCTCGTTTTGAAGGGGCAGCGGCCCGCGTCTCACTCCTTCCTCCTCCTTCCCCTCCTCCCTCCTCCCATAACTGCCTCTGCCCTCCGCACGTCCATTTCGGCACACCCCTCACATCTCTTGGCCCCACAGGCAGCTCCACCTGAGGCCCCAGCGGCTGGACTCCCATACTTGGTCCACGCCATGTCGGCGCACCTCTCACACGCTTCGTGGCCCCATAGGTCCACCCAGCCCTAGCGGCTGGGCTCGCATACTTGATCCACGCCATTCCGGCGCAAGCGCACCCCTCACACGTTTCGTGGCCCCATGAGGAGCTCCACCTCAAGCCCCAGTGGCTGGGTTCGCATACTTGGTCCACGCCATCCCGGCCCGCTCCTCACACGTTCCGTGGCCCCCTCTGGGGAGCTCCACCGCTCCACCGAAGGCCCCAGCGGCTGGATTCGCACACACCTGGTCCACGCCACTCCGGCGCACCCCTCACAGGTTCCGTGGCCCCACCGGGAGCTCCACCTGTAGGCCCAGCGGCTGCGCCCCCGCACGTCTTCCCCCCCCACACACCGCCTCGGCGCACCCAATCACTCGCTTCGTGGCCCCACAGGGAGCGCCGGCGCGGAGGCCCCAGCGGAAGAAGCAAGCGCCGAGTGGCGCAGGTCAGCCGTGTACCGAGCATTTGCTTTGGGTGGAGGGCAAAGGGTGAAATCTGGAATGCCGTTCCGATGGATTTTCGAGGCTGGTTCTGCAAAAGGTGAATCACAAGACGGACTGATTGCCGAGGTGGAAAGAAAGCCCATGTGAATTTCACCCTGAGCCCTCCACCCTAAGAACATGGTCAGGTGTATGACGGGTTACATCCAGAGGTAACCCGTTACGGCCGAGCTCTGCGGCCTCATCGGCAACCTCGCGCCGCCCTTCCCACGCGCGCCTTAGTCCTGATGCTGGCCCCCCTCCCCCTGACTTGCGGCACTCGCAGCTGCAGAAGTTTGCGCCCTTCGCCAGGTCAGTTTTTTTTGACTTCGGGCAGCCGTCCCCCCCCCCTAGGCCCGGGGACCGTCACAACGTCTCTGGATGAACAGCTGGTCCATAGGAAGGGGTCGAGACCTCCAGAGGCCCACACCTTTGTGAAAGAACCACGACGTCGGGGGTCGGAGGGCTGGGGATTGGAGCTTTATCGAATCACGAACGTCGCATTTGATCTCACCATTCCAGCCTCCAACCCTGGGCCCCAGGACCACCATAAACCAGAACCCGACCGACGACGGAACGAAAAGGTCTTTGCGGCGGTGTCGACAGCTCCAGGGGCCCACGTTGGGGAACATGCGTGACAGTGGGCCTGCGGGGCACATTGTCTCAACAGGGCCCTCGAAGGGCGCGCCTTTCCGGTACTCCAGAGGCGCGGGGTGTGGATTCTGGGCCACTCTGGTTGGGACCTCTTAGGAAACGGGCTGTGCTTGCCCTGGTGGCACCCAGTGAGTTCATGTCCATCCGCTGAGGAGGCTAAGGAGGAGAAGGAGGGGGAGGAGGAGGATGGGGTACTCAGTAGTCTAGGCGTTGGGAAAAGAAACGTTGCGTTTTGCTTCGTTCCGAACTCTGGGAGCCTCCAACAAAAAACAGACCGCACAAGCACATAAAGATGGGGTCGGTAGTCCTGGTCGATAGGATGAGAAGGAGGCGGGTGAAAAAGAATTTGTCATGCCTTCCGTTATCCCGTTCATTGTTCTTTGACGCGTTGATGGATTATTGCAGGTGTCAATGGTGCCTTAGGGGGTTGCATTCAGGGAATACGGTGAGGAGCTGTTGCTAAGCGTGTCGCACCGCTTGTTCTGGCTCACCACACTCTGGCGCGAGACGCTATCAGCTTTCCGAGTGTTTCCAGATTTCCAGTGAGACGCGCTTTCTGCTGTGAATGCAACCTCGGAGGCGACACGCTAACAGTTTTCAATGCGTGGCGTGTCGCAGGTGCCGCTGCCGCAACGCTCTAAGCAAAAGTTCCTGACCGTACCAGGAAAAGGGGGATGAGGGAGAGGGAGAGCAGGCAAGGAGGGTCTGGCGAGCAGGAGGAGCTTCATCTCCCTTATCTTTTCTCCTCCCCCTCTTGTCTGCCTCTCCCTCTAGCCAATCCGCCCTCCACAGCAGGCAGCCGAGGCCCCCTTCAGCTATGTGTCCGCACCCCCCGAGGCCCCTCCTCGAAGTGTACTGCTGGCCGGTTCTGGCTTGTTGCACTGGCCCCCCCTGTTCCTTTGAACCTAGGCGCGTTCCAGAACAGGGCTGGGCCTAAACGGTGTTTTTGGCCATCTCGTGGGCCGTTTTCGTTTCGATTTCGTTTTGCGGTAAAGGCGGATTCGAGACGAAAGCGAGGGACAACGAACACAAAACGAAAACGAACAGCACCGTTCAGGTTCAGCCCTGTTCCAGAGCTAGTCTCTCTTTCTCGGGAGACTCTCAATGGGGGGGATCCCATGGGGGGGCAGGAGGGGATCCCCCCCATGGGATCCCCTCCTGCCCCCCCATGGAATCCCCAGGGGATCCTATGGGATCCCCCCCCTGCGATCCTATCCCCCCATGGGATCCACCCCCATGAAGAGTCTCCCGACTTTCTGCGCTGCTCTCGCCATGGGCGAGCGCCGCGCGGAAGCGAAGCTGCCGCGGGCCCGCTGGCGGAAGCCCGCGGCAGATCGGCGGATTACAGGCGGGAGCGTCGAGATTTGTTGGTTCGGTCGAGGAGGAGGAGGAGGAGGAGGAAGAGGAGGAGGAGGAGAGGAGGAGGAGGAGGAGGAGGAGGAGGAGGAAGGAGGAGGAAGAGGAGGAGAGGAGGAGGAGGAGGAGAAGGCCTTCTCGGAAGGCTCGGAAGCCCTCCGGCCTTCCCAGAAATTGTCGAAGCCTTCCCTGCAGACGCAGGGAGCCTCTCGGAGGGCACGAGGGCTTCCGAGAAGCCCCGCCGCCTTCTGGGAGGACCTTCTCACTTCCCCCCCCCTCGCTCGCCGCCGACACATTGGCTGGTTCTGGACGTTCCGCCATCGGCCACGAGCAGCGCAGCATCTCATCCGCCCGCCTCGTGTGCTGTTTTCTCCTGCTCTCGAAGATTTGTTCGTGGTTCGCAGCTGGGCGCTCCTGGCCCAGGTGGAGGAGGAGGAGGAGGAGGAGGAGGAGGAGGAGGAGGAGCCCAGCCCTACCCTGTGTCTCCGCGCCCAGCCTCCGAGGAACACGTACGTGCTGCAGCTGCCCATGCTGGACGGATGGCCTCCAGAGGTTCAGCGTCTGTTCGAGAGCAATGCCGTCACCACCGTCGGCTTCGCTGCCAACGACATCGACGTGAAAAAGTTCGAGATTTCTGGGATCGCCATCGACCGGGGGACCCTCTTTGACCTCCAGCCGTGGTGCGAGGCAGAGATGGGCGAGAACAGAAGTGTAGAGCAAGGCTGGCGCGTCGGGCTCAAGAGAGCCGCATGGTGTGTTCTGGATTTTGAGATGGACAAGACTAGCACGGTGGCTTCTTCCAACTGGGAGCGAGAGGAGCTCACATCAGCGCAGGTCGAGTACGCTGCCATGGATGTCTGGGTTGCTCTGCGGCTGTACCAGAGGCTGGCTAGTGTCTACGCCGAGCCGCTCGATTGAGGCTTCCTGAGGAAGCCAGCCAGGAGGGTGCCAGACGTCAGATTATGTCAGGGGGCTGAAACCCTTGCCTTTCTTGTCGACGTGGACAGCGGGCGCTGCTTGTGGGTTGCGCACGGGCTCTAGGGGCGGGCGGGGCGTCTTGGAATTGTTGTCCCTGCTCCTCCTGACTTCGATCACCCCCATACCTCCGGTTCCTCATCCACAGTATCGCGCGACTCGAGGTTCGACGATCGAGGACTGAGATTCTGCGTTCTTGTGCCTCCTTGGGCCTCTGGGTCCGCCCCCTTGGCCGCGGTGGGCGGAGGAGGAGGCGGAGGGGCGTGGGCTCCCAAGGAGAAGGGACGAGGACGAGAATAAGAAGGGGAGGGAGGAGGGGGGAAAGGAGGAGGAGAAAGGGTAGGGACATGAGGCCCCTGGCCGAGATCTGACGTCCAGCCCTTCCGGATGCCCGTGGCGAGAGTAGCTGAGCGTGCCTTGCTAGGCGTGCTGTTTCGGTATGAGGCTCGTCGCGAGACTGCGGGGCAGCGGCGTGGCGACGCGCCGCTCGGCAGAAAAAGACACGCGTAAGATTTCGGCAGGGGCGGCAGCAAGCAAAGTGGATGGAGCACCTGTAGGGGAACGAATAATGGCATAAACATAAAAACTCGGAGGTCCGCGATGATTTCTCGGATCCGCGCTGGACCCCCTCCCTGGCGCGCGGAGCGCGCCAGGGGCGGCTCTGGAGGCGCCGCCAGGGGAGTCCAGCGCGGATCCGAGAAATTCGCGCGGACCTCTGAGTTGTTATGTTTATGTCATTATTCGTTCCCCTAACTTGAGTCCGTGCGTCTCTCATCACGTTGTCCGCTGTCTTGCGTCGAAGAAGAAAGAAACGCCGTAAACATAAACTTTCGCGGCGCTCCGCGCGGAATTCTTTGATCGGCGTTGTGGCCTTTTGGCGGCGCCTCTGGCGCCACCCCCTGGCGCGCGGAGCGCGCCAGGGAGGGGGTCCAGGCCAGATCCAAGAAATCTACGCGGAGCGCCAACAAGATATGTTTATTGTGTTCGTTCTTTTCAATTTCACGGTTTTCATGTGCGCTTAGGTTGCACGTGGTGTACGTATGTGCTCGCGCGCGTACATTTCTGCGAGCGCATGCGTGTATGACTGGGTGCGTGCGCATGTTAGGGAGCGCGCGTGCGTGGAAGCGTGTGCGGGCAGCACTTTCAACACAACACTAACACCATGACCAAGGAGGCTTTCTTTCCAGCTCAATGCTCCAACGCTGTTCTTTGCATCTGCTGCCCTTGCGTGCACGCGATTGTTCGAGAGCCATAAGGCGGTGTCCTTCTCCTCCGCGTCAGCCCCTTTCCGCGTTATCCCTCAAACCCCTCATTTTCTTCCTTGCTCTCGGTCTTCCCCTGTTTTCTGTCCTCTCTTCTTGTTCTTCGTGGCATCCTGCTGTTTGGGTCTCTTTGTGGTTCCACCGATGCTGTGGTTGCCTGGCCACCATCTCATGAGAGTTTGGCGTGCTGCTCGGAATCGCCCGACCGCGTTGCCTCGTGTGCTGTTATATGTTCGGCCGCTCGGCGTTCATAGTGTTTCCTTGTCTCATGTCGAGCGTCTGCGTGGCTGTGCTCGATGTGTCTGCAGTTGCCGCGATGCGTGCGTCTCTGAAGGTAAGTGGGCGTCGTATTCCGTATAGGAGAAATGATCCCCTCCCCGCCTCCATCGACGCCTCCTCTTCGTCTTCCACTTGCTCCATTTCTTCACTTCCTTCCCTTCCCCTCCTGCTCCCCCTCCTTCCCCGCCCACCCCGTTTTTCCGCGCCTCCTCCGCAGAATCCATCCCACTTCTCTGCGAGTGGACGTGTCCGAGGCGACCCCGTGCGCTCTGGCGTCGGCCGAGCTGTCCAGCAACGGCCGGCCCACGGAGGCGCTCCTCGGCTCTCTCTGCCCAGGGGAGCGCTGCGCAGGGCTCCGTGTTGTGCCGCGGTCGCCCAAGGTATCGTGGCTGGTGCCGGATCGTTTCTCGCTCGTGCGCGAGGGTGCTCGCCGGGACACAGGGGACGCTGCGGCAGAAGCGCGGCACTCTGGCACCCACACACACACACATGAACACAAAAACGCACACAATATACATACCCAGCTACTTCCCTCCATCTTTCCATCCATACAGACAGGCAGACAGAGAGACAGACAGAGAGACAGACAAGAAGAGAGAGAGAGAGAGAGAGACAGACAGACAGACAGACAGACAGACAGACAGACAGACAGACAGACAGACAGACAGACAGAGAGACAGACAGACAGACAGACATGCAGACATTGACACACAGACACACGGACAGACAGACAGACAGACAGACAGACAGACAGACAGACAGACAGAAAGACAGACAGACAGACATGCATACATACATATAGGTTATAAGGAGACATGTACGGTAGATGAGTGGTGCAGGGGCGAAGAGTCGAGAAGCAGTGCACTGGCCGAAGTCGAGGGTGCATGGCAGCTGTCATCCGGGCTCCGACATGATAGCCCTAGGGGCATGACCTAGCGCCAGCAGTGGCGCCCAGCCCACACCCGGAGGCTTCAGAGCATCTTGCGGGCCAGAGCTGGAGGCGTGGCGTGGCTGGAGGCGCTGCCGCGGCGTTGAGGCCGCCCGAGGGCGCGGGCCCCTGGGGCATGGCGCCTAAGGCCAAAGCCAAGGCCAACGCCAGGGCCAAGGCCAAGGCCAAGGCGACAGCTAAGGCCAAGCCGAAGGCTTTGGCAGGGCGCGGCCACGCGCGGGGCCGCGGGCGCGACAGAGGACGCGCGAAGCCGGAGGTGGGCCGCCCCCCGCGGGACTTTCCGCCGCCGGCCACCGCTGGCGGCCCCTCCGGGTGGCGGAGGCGCGGCGGTGGTGCCCGGCGCAAGCGCGATGGCCGCGGCGGCTGGACCTCTGGGCCCGCCCCTCGGCGCCAGGAATCCCGCAGCGGTGGGCCTGGGCGCCCTGTCGGGCGGTCCGCCAGGCGTCGGCGCCGGTGCTCATGGTCGCGGTCGCGGCTCTCCACGAGGCGGCGGAGCGGGCGGCCCGCCGCCCCTGCTGCCTGGCGCGTTTGGGCTCGCTGGTGACGCGCTACCAGGTGCTGGCGCCGGCGCGTGCCAGGGGCTGTCTTCGGCGTCTTCATCGACGGGCCGTGGATGGGCGGCGCGGCACTGCTCCGAGACACGTTCGCTCACGGGATGCTTGTCGAGGTGCCGACGTTCGACCCAGCGCAGCAGGTGGACGGCACGGTGGTCTTCGAGGTCGAGGACGTCGGCACGCTTGGCTTGAACGGCCTCTATTTCACGGTGCGCGGGGCTGCGGTGCCAGCGCGGGCGCTGGAGCTGGACGCGGCCTTCCCGCCCCCCGGCGTCGGCCCGCTGGGCCTGTTGCACCTCTGCGCGGGGCCGGTGAACTGCCAGGCCCCAGTCGTGGCTTGCCGCGGCGAGCGCCACATCGACTTGCTTCGCCTTCGCTCGGCGAGGAGCCTGGCGGAGCCGCTGGTGCGGGCGAGCATGCTGGACCCACCGCCAGGTCTGGGTCTGGGAGGCGGCGTGCTCGCCGCGGCCAGGCCCGCTGCAGGACGCTGCTGCTGGACACGCGGCCGCCGCCGCGGGCGGATCACTGAGCGGCGGCGCCGGGTGCTTGGTGGCCGCTGGAGGCGCCAGAGCCGTTCGAGCACTGGCAGCGACGACAGTGGCGACCCGCATCTCAAGGATGGCGCATCAGCACCCAGGCGCGCTGTACGAGGCGATCGAGAATATCACGCGCGTCATGGGTCTGCGGGAGAGGGCGGCAGGTCAGCCGGCACGCCCGAAGGTGCGAGGCGACTTGCATGTGGTGATCTTCGGCTACCAATAGTTATCCGATCCAGGGCGCGAGCGAGCGGACAGTCAGAGAGCTGCAGGCGCTCGCGGCGGTAGTGGACCTGCTGGAGGAGGGCCACCTAGCCTCGGTGGCGGACGCCCTCATGCAGCGATACAAGAGTCTCGAGATGAGCCTCAACGACGGCAGCTGGAACATCGCGACCGAGCTGGAGATGGCAGCGGACAACCGCCCGACGCTAGCCTAGCGAACTGAACAGCAGACGGCGAGGCGCGCGGCGTTACTCAGGAAGCGCCTGGAGGAAGCGAGAACCCGCAGGGGTTCCGCCCGCCGCTGACCCGAGGGGCGGGCGGCGCCGCCGTTGGCCGGTCGCCCGAGCTCGCCGGTGCGCGGTCGCAGAGCGGTCCTAGGCGGCCGCGGGCGCGGGCGTTGCTTCCTTCTGCGAGCGGGCGATCGCGGAGGACGCCCGCCGAGTCCCGCGCGCGCAGCCAACCCGACGCCCGCGCGGGCAGCTGGTGCCGGAGCGGCTGCCGAGGCGCCCAGTGTGACCGCCGCAGCGCCCTCCGGGCCGGGGGGGCGCACGACCTCGCCGATCGCGGCGCGCACCGCTCGGGGCGACAGCCCCCGCCCCTCGCCGCGGTGGGTGAAGCCGACGCTGGAGCCGGACGTGTGGGTGGTCGACCAGGCCCGCCTGGCCGCGGAGGCCACGGGAAGGGCCGCGGCAAGGGCGGCTGGACGCATCGGTCCCGCCGCGGAAAAAGCGCAGCCGGCAGCGGCCGCAGGGCAGCGGCAGCAGTCTCTGGCAGCAGGCCCCCGGGCGGCGCTAGCGCTTGGGTGTGGCGCTTGCGCGACCCCCTCTGGCACCGCGGCCGCGCCTGCTGACCGCTCGACCGCAGCCCGCCCCCCTGCTGATTCGCTGGTGACCCGCGGAGCGTTTGCAGAGGAGGATCGAGGCTCGTCTACGGCGGGCGTCGAGCCGTGCGATGAATCGCCCTACGACGAGTGGCGAATGCTGGTTGGAGGTGCCAGCGACCTGTTCCGCCGACCGGTCGACAAGGGCCCCATCCTTCTGTATCTGACGCGCGCCTTCCCAGGGTCGCTCGGTGGGTGCATGAAGGATTCCCAGCACAGCGAGCGAAGGCCAGCTAGGGACGGGCGGCCACAGCGCGACCT